ACACATATATATTTATTTATTTGCTTGAAACCACTTGTATGCCGTGATTTTAGAAAACTGGTGTCTACAATTTACATTGCAGAAGGAGTTGGAGACGATGCAGGACTTTCGTATGAGTGTCTATATACAAAGTGAATGACAACATCAAATATGTATCCGTTAATTTTAACTATATTGAAATGTTCTAGCGCTAAAAGATTACTTGTTATTGTCTTAATGTTTCGCAGAGCATATCGAACCCCAGATTTTCTTGCTTTCAAAACGCAATTCTCCTGCAACGCCATTATTTTTAAGTGTCCTTAAATTATGCTAACTTAATTGTAACTTTGTTGGCGGCAAGAGTAATTTCTTGAAGGTAAATAATTAGTGCTGGTTGTAATGGAGGTTGTCATGGTCTCTTTCGGCTGCTATGAGATGCCTCCAAATTTCCTGGTGCCAGTCAGACGGACGCTGAATGACGGTCGTAGTCACCCGATTTGTAATTCTTAACAACAGTTAAAAATGACCTGAGTGCAGTAAAAAAAAACTGTCTGTCAGTAATAAAGAGAGAAAATAAGCAGCAACAGAAAAACCGAGACAAATATGTAGGTAAGAAACAAATAAAAAAAAAAGCCCGAAGAAGTAATGAAAGTGTTATAGGAAAAATGTCTTCCAGTTTTATTGCTGACTGGTGAATCAAGCGGACCAGAAGGCGGGAAAAAATGAAAAGAAAATGTGGAGAAAATAGAAGTCAGATGCTTTGAAGAGGAAGATAAAGGATAAGTGAAAAGAAAAGAGGAAATAAGGAAGTGAGAGAAAGAAAAAAAGAACGAAAGGAAAACATTAACGAAAATAGATAGAAAGGTAAATATTAATGAAGAAACAATCAAGCAAAAAACAAAGAAAAGAAAACATTAATGAAAGTAGAAAATGAGAAAAATTAAAAGATTAAGGAAAAAAGAAAGAAAGAAGATTAATTAAAAAAAGGAAAAAAAGCAAACATTAATGAAAACAGAAAGTAAGAAAGAAAGAAATATATGAATGAAAACAAAGAAAGGAAACAATAATGAAAAACAGTCATAGATTGAAAAGGGATTGAGAAAAATATTAAAGAAGAAAGAAAGAAAACATTAAGAAAGAAAGAAAGAAAGAAGAAAGACCAATGAAAAAAGGAAGAAAGAAAACATTAATGAAGACAGAAAGATAGAAAATATTAAAGAAAGATGAAAAGAAAAACAATCATAGATTGATGAAAACAGAAAGAAAAAGGATTGAGAAAAAAGATTAATGAAGAAAGAAAGAACGAAAGAATAAATGAATGAATCATTAATGGAGAATGGAGGAAAACAGGAAGAGGGAAAGAAAGAAGAAAAGAAAGATATGAAGGAATGAAGGTTAGAATACATTAATGAAAGTTGAATGAAAGTAAGATTGTTATATACCAGTTGTTGTCAGAAGGAAGACACATGACGAATACTTTCAGCAATTTCAAATTGTCATCTTCAGGGCACATTTTTTCAATACATAGGTAAACACTAACATGAAATATGAGTAGACCGAAAGATGTTATTTATTGGCAGTTTGTTATAGTGGAACACACCTATTCTATAGTTAATAGACTCTCCAACCTATAATAAGTAGGAGTAGTAATAGTAACGAGGAGTCAGCCAGTCAGTAGTACCGACTGATCGGTTGAACTCTCTGCTTTCGGGCGGGGAGGAACCCGAAGGAGGCTACGCCGAAGGGCGGATTCTCTTTCGGGGAGGTAAACCGACCCTGAACCCGCTTATACGGGTTCAATGGGCATATTTTTGGCCGAGTCCACGGGCTCGGAGATCCCACATTAAAAAGGCCTTGTGCTACATGACGCCCTCGTTGGGTGGGGTGACTGAATATCGTTGGTCAGTCAGTCGACTGGCTGTTCGGTTGAACTGTCTTCGGGCGGGGAGGAACCCGAAAGAGGCTACGCCGAAGGGCGGATTCTCTTTCGGGGAGGCAAACCGACCCTTAACCCGTTTATACGGGTTTCAACGGGCATATTTTGGGCCAAGCCCACGGGCTCGGAGATCCCACGTTAAACCGGCCTTGTGCCACATGACGCCCACGTGGGGGAGTGACTAAATATAGTCAGTTAGTCCATGTCGGAGGACAGTTAGTCGAATACTAAAGTATCAGCGACCACAAGTAAATTACTCTGCGTTATACCCATTATATCAAGTTCCTAACGTTTTGTACGTCGAACCTATTTTAGGACCGACTTAGTACAAATACAAGCCTCCACTGTGGAAACACTCCACAACACAGTTAAATATATGTTTTGGAACGTGCGAATTGATATTAAGTTAATGTCTCATTAATTCTTGTTAGCGAAGTAATTTTGCCATTAATCACATTAACATTGGTATTTAAATTTTTTCTGTATGGTATAAAATATAATATATATATATATATATATATATATATATATATATATATATATATATATATATATATTGTTATGGGAACTTACCCATAATAATAATGGACTATTCCTGACATTATAAATATTGCGCCTCTCAAAAGGTATGAGGAGATTGGAAGACGAGGAGAGATAGTTTAGAGCATATTGTAAGGACATTGGAATAGTGATACTTGTCGAGACAACATAGTTCACTCTAACCAAATCTGATAATCATGACTAATACTTCTACTTCTTTGTATTATATTTCTGTTGTAATATATCTTTGTATTCCATACCTGTGTTCATGTTATTCTTTCATTTGTTCTAACCTTGGACCATCACCGTAGTACAATGAACTTGGACCATATATATATATATATATATATATATATATATATATATATATGTGTGTGTGTGTGTGTGTGTGTGTATGTGCAAACTAGGTGTAGCAGCAAAATTGGACAATTCTTAGATTAAACTTTGAACCGATGTATCTTAGAAAGGATTAAAAACATCTTACTGGAATTCTCCGAGGTTTTTATAACATTATTGGACTCTACTTTGAGCAACAACAATGTATTTGCTTCTAAGATGAAATGATGAGGTGAGGTGAGGAGGGTGAGGAGGTAAATACTGAGTAGAGAGAGTCTGTTTGAAACTACCCTCAGGCCTGGAGATTTCATTCATGATTTAAACAAAATGTCGCCACTCGGTGTTTACATCAGTGTCCAATTTCACATTTACATACACTCTATTCCCGATATATATATATATATATATATATATATATATATATATATTTGTACATTTCGACAGCAATCATTCTTTTATGCATGTTTCGTTGAATTAATAATTTATAATAATTTATTAAAGAACTCTGAGGAAATTTGAAAAAGGAATTACAAAATACGTCATATTTTGAATTCACAGGTTGTGTAATGGATACTTGTGTGTATCAGTATGTCAGTGTTTGTCTGTGTGTAACATCTATGCCTGTGTGATATATTTTCTATTTCAGTTTGTTTCAATTTTACATCTCAGTTTATTCATAATTATGTCATACAGCCCCTCTATTTGTCTTGTTCGTTCTGATGTTCAGCTATTCACCGATGTCTGAACGTGTTCATATTTAGATTAGCCTGTTCATCTATTCATTTAATAAAACCGATTAATACATAAGAGTTCAGAGTCGCAGTTCATTCGAATGTGTTAGTATTTTCAGGCTCGTGACTTTTTTTTATCTGAGATAGATAGATAGATAGATAGATAGATAGATAGATAGATAGATAGATAATGAACACAGTAGGATAGATAGATACTGAAAAAGACGACAAAAGATAGATAGATAGATAAATAGATAGATATATAGATAGATAGATAATGAACAGAGTATATATATATATATATATATATATATATATATATAGAGAGAGAGAGAGAGAGAGAGAGAGAGAGATAGATAGATAGTGAAAAGACGAGAAAAGATAGATAGATAGATAGATAGATAGATAGATAGATAGATAGATAGATAATGAACATAGATAATGAACAAACTAGGATAGATAGATAGATAGATAGATAGATAGATAGATAGATAGATAGATCACGCCAAACGATGTGCTTTCTCGCAGAAACTAATTAAAGTTCCCTCACATAATTCCAGTTTAAATCGCGAAACACAATTGTGCTTGAGCAGGCGTGTACAACAGGGATTATTTAGTAGACAGACATACTCGGAAATATGGACGGGTAGCCGAATGTTTAGTATCATCGCTTTCAAATCATAAGCCCCGAATTTGAATTTCCCTATGGGCGCTTTTTTAGCAATTTGAGCTAACTGGTGGGTTGTTCAAATTTCTGATCATGACAGATCATGCGCCCTCTCTTTGAAACTGTCACTAAGGACTGCTCAGCATAGTTACAGTATAAAATTGTATGTGCCTAACAGGCGTCTGCGGCCGAGATCTACTAGTTGCCCTGGCAGACGGGCGCACTCTGAAAATGAGGATAGCTGGCTGTTATAATAGTAAACAAGTAATCGGTTATTACTTACGTAGGTGAGCACGCATGAAAACCACGCCAATAATAATGACACTTTGTATTCGCACAGAAACGTACCTTGGAAAAAATCGCGTTTTCAGACTCACGAATCAAGGGGAGGTAAAGGTTTAGGTTAAGAAAGTTTGCCGCTAAAGGTCGCGAGAGTCGAAACGAGATCAAAGTTGTACGTGGCCGACTTTGTAAGTGGCACGAAAGTTAACCGAAAACAGACATCACCTTGTCAAAATGATTTCCCACTGTTCCATCTTATCTCCATCACTTGCTCTCCCCTCACGTTCACTATTTTGGTTAATATTTATTCACATACTTCGTATTTTCATAGAGTTACGTCTCCCCGGGCATTTATTTCTATTTTTCCTCTATTTTTACGATTTTGCATTTTATTTAAGACTTTCGATGACGAATGATATTAATGCAAAACCAGAAGTGAATCTGTCGATCGATCGATTTTCAATCACAACTTTCTTTCTTTCTTTCTTTCTTTCTTTCTTTCTTTCTTTCTTTCTTTCTTCCTTTCACTGTAATTATTGCTCAGACTTAAACATAAGTATCAATATACTTCTCTTCATATTTATCACTCAATCTCTTTCTCTCTCTCTTCCTCTCCATTTCCCTCTCCCTCTAGCATACAAAAACACGACTGCAATTGTGTAGCGATTTTAACATGTTCTCGATGAAATATCTTAAAATAAATAATATTGCTCTACTTTGTATTGAGCCCTTTTTTTAAATTAAATGTTACGAACGTTGCAATTGTACTCTTTTCGTTGTCATCTTACCTGGGTATATATATATATATATATATATATATATATATATATATATATATATATATATAGCAGCATGGCCCGGCGTTGCCCGTGCATGATTCAAAAAACGTACGACTCATACAGCAATCGCTATCACTTGATTTAAAATATTTTTGCCTTTCCTTGCCTTTAAAGGAGTGCCGTTTGCCGTGCTGATGTTGCCACATGCCTTACTTCTTGCTTATCTCACACTGCGAATTTTTTCTAAGCTCTATACTAAACATTAAATCTGTTACAGAAAAAGAACTAAACAAAATGAACACAAAACGATCAGCTTTAAAAAAGGACTTGTAGCTGGAAAAACCGAATGAAAAAAGAATGTTAGCAACAAATACTTTTTTCACACGCAACCCAGTTCTGCGGAATCAGAATCAACGTTGAGTTTAAGCAAGCGAATGAGCGAATTGGAATAAAGTGCCATGCAGATTTAAATTTTTTCCACTTGTGACAAATGCAGCTATCGATTTTTTTTGCATGCTAACATGCTAGTTAACATTCGTGTTAGTCTGCCGTTGGCTCTCACGCTGATCAATAGAATCTTCCTACCTATTCGTGGTAGCCAGCTATAGACTCTCACTCTGACCAGTAGAAAATGGCAAACGACATGAAAACTACCGTAGAAGCATGAAAAAATCGATTATTTCCACTATCGATGGAAGTTGGGAAATGCAAATTCGATCTTGGCGTTCCCAATAACTTGGAGCATGTGCATGTAAATTTTGGTGCAAATCCGTCGAAAATTGTGCACGTGCATTCATTACACACACACACGCACACACACACGCACAAATCCTGCCTTTTATAGATAGAGATATTATGGCATTAAAGGCAAGTAATTTTTTACTATAGGCCATGATAAACAAAAACACGAATGCTAGAAACACAGCACCGCAAGCCCAAGCAAACAGTCGCTTTGTTTACAAAGAGCGTGTCGCCTGGACCTGATGAACAACGTCTCCAACACCTTCAGATGGAATAATGAGTGTGCTCTGGCCAGAACAGAGAATCAACTCACACTAAAATCCATAGCACAGATCAGATTATTTATCAAGTGATCCGATATAGAAGACCCGTATGTATTTCGAATGGTATCACCAAACGAAAAATTTTTATTAAGTATTTTAGCAGACACGTGCTGTTTAATCCTAACAACTAAACGCTGTGTCGTTCTACCTATGTAGTCGAGTCCACAACTATATTTAAAATAATAAATAACGGAATTAATATGGTGGGGTTGGGTAGAAGGTCTTGCGGGGCTGTGTCTCTAGCATCTTTGGTGTTATAATTTTTATTATTATTATATTTTTTTTCCTTATCCATTCATTCACGTCATCCGCGACAGACTTTCTTCTCATAATTTGTTTCCCCATTTACAGTTCTGACGAGAAGGGACGAAACCGGTTGACCTGTGTTTGTGTTTTTGTTTTAAAATTTATCATGGCCTATAGTAAAAAATTTCTTGACTTAAATGCCATAATACTTTTTTGTACCGTTAAAAACACACACACACACATATATATATATATATATACCCTCACAGATAATACGACTTGGCGTAATCTTCAGATATTGAGTGTAAATAGGCCAGTTTTTTTTTACATATATATACAAATCCCGTTTCTGGTAAATGCCAAATATAATTTTAAACATTAAAAAACTGTAATTCCAGTATAATTCATAACTGCGCCAACATTACGATATCCATATATATATTTTTTTTTTCAATTTAAATTAAGTAACGCCCAGAGTATACTCAGAACCTGAAGATTGCATTGTGCATGAAACCCCGAGTCGAGCTATCGGTGAGGAATAATATGTATATTTATTAATATATAGATAGATATGTTGTATTACATAGAGCACTGTTTCATTAACACTAGCACTATATGTGCGATATATCATAATTATATATATATATATATATATATATATAGAGAGAGAGAGAGAGAGATAAATTCGACTCTCCGGTTGAATACGACGTATGAGGATCAAGCAGATCAGTTGCTAGGAAACCGACAGCCCGACAACAGCACATGAGATGTCATTATAATGGTGATGGTTTCGTGCAGGACCATCCAAACATTTTGAAGGGTCGAATACAGAGACCTGGTGCATTACGTGCCACAGGGTCCTCAGCTCTCCTTCTCCTAGACCAGTTGCCATCCAAGGCTATAGAACCCAGTCTGTCCTGCTATTTACCCATAGCTGGAGGGAGAAGAAGGCGATTCACACCTTCCCCAAGCGTATTAGCACGTAAGTGAATGTAATGGATTCACTTAATAATGAATTCGACTGGAATTTGAACTCGGCTCTCCGATTCCTCAATCCAGGCCGCTGTTCATTACTCCACCGTGCCTCCTGCACACGCACACACACACACACTTTATCAAAGCAAAATACGAAAATTTTCGTATTTTCCTTTGATAAAGTCCACATTGGACGAAACGCGTCAGCAATTACTAGTTTTTCTATTGTCATTTTTATTCATAAATATTGTCTTCTCTACTGGTTAAATCAGAGAAATTTTCATATATATAAAAATATATGTTATAATTGTTCCAACGTGAGAAAAATGTATATTTTTAAAAAAGAAAGAAACCGCAAACTTTTTTTTGTTGTTATAATGTGCATTTGTTTTAGTGTATATATTATATTTTATTTTTCATATTTTTGCTACACGGGTTTCCGGCCTCGTGACTTTCTTCAGGCAAATTAAACGAATCAATTTTTAAAGGAATAAAATTTCCTTATGTTCTTTTAATATTTCATTGTTAATTTTCTGTATTTGTGGTGAGCCTCGATCTCATTTTTTCGACTATTGGCAAAAGTGACTTTCTGCCTAAGAATCATTAGGTTTGGTCCTAGCGGTCGCAATGATAGATGTGTTGATGATAGATGCCCTCCTATATCCACATCACCCCTTTTGGATATACTCATTAGAAATAGAAACAACCACATAATCATAGATATCTGCCACAAACCTACAGACAACAAACAATATCTCCGTTTCACGAGTCATCACCCAACTAGCCGTCTGAAATCCATCCCCTATTCCCTAGCACAAAAGGTTTTCACTATAGTAAGTAAAAGCAAAAGGGGTGGGAGGTAATTTAACATAATGCTAACTAGTTATATGCTTGTTCAGCAGCTTCCATATTGATTAACTTTAAAAACTCAACATTTGACATCCATTAGGCAATCCATTGTAATCAACTGTCCGGCACATTCTTTTCTTTTTGTTCAGTACCTTTAGATGTTCTCATCTGACCTGGATTTAGGGATCCATTTTATTTACTTTTTGGCGCATTCTTCTCTTCTCGTATTTTCCTTCGGCATTTCTGTATTCTTCCTTGTGCTGTGTCCAGATTCTTATTTAATTCTTCTTTTTTTTAATTATTTGTTTCTTTTTTTTTTAATCTGATGCGATATCGAAATACAGGAAATGAGAGATTTTTCTTTTCCTTAACCTTGCAATTTTTTGATCCCACAGTGGGCAGTGTTCTCCTTTCTCTCTCCAGATCTATGTGGGATCATGCTGAGATCATAAACAAGGAACACCATTAGAAAATTCATAAACTTAAGGAATCAGCATATGCTAGGCCACAAAAATCTCCTGAGCTGACCAAGCGTAGAAATGAATACAATATGGGAACCAGTAATAAGGAGTGCCAGAGAAGAGCGATAACAACAAAAGTTCCAATATGAGCTCTGGTAAAAATATGGTTTGATAACAGCAAAAAATTGCAATATGAGCACTGGTAAAAATGGTTGCTGAAAACATTAGGTTTATAATACCCAGAAATTCATACAAAGATGTCCTCAAGGACACATGACACAGTGGATAAAGGCGTTGGTTAGATCCAGTGACAGGACCCAAAAGAGTGTGAGTTCAATACCCGGATAAGGCAGTGGAGAATTTCAGAGGGAAATTAACAGGAGATAAGTGATAACTGACATCCATTAAACATGGCACGTGGAACTAGAACAGTCTACCCCAGTGAGCGAAATAAAGGGTTCAGTTCGACATTCCAAGAAGGCCGGAACGTACAACGGCCGAAACGATGTAATAAATATGGTGACAGAGATGAGATCAATAGTCCGTATAATGTAAATAATGTACGTAATACATCATCTCAGAAATATAGACAGAAACTCTAATTCATCGTTAAACATTTAAGCTTAAGAACCTTAACAAAATATTTCAATAATAATCAAAATATGGATGTCTGTCATTATACAATGTAGTAAGAGGGTACAAATGAAAAAATTGAAAACTGATATTTCATTGAAGCAGCTTCGATATTATCTCCTCCTCCAACTTACCTTTTATTCTTTCTACGTCCTGTTTATTATTATTTATGTTTTCATCTGTCATTCAAACAAAACAGTGTATCTGATATATATTTTCTCTTCTCACAATCAAAACGTTCTAATCAATTATTTATACAACGGTAGGGCGTGACGCACCTGCTAACTTGAGAAGCAAAGAAAGGACGGATTTATAATATATTAGAACCTTGAATAATCTCTCGCTGATTTTTCATGAAAACTTACGTTTTCCTTACAAAAATTAGTAAGAAACATGACACTGAAATTATTGATGATCGCTAGCCACTAGTTTTTTTCCATCTTTCTGACAGTATCTAAATTCCAAGTCGGAAAAAAAGACACGTCTTTTGAGGTTAAAAACGAATCGACCCATTTCGACCCC